TGAGGAGAGGAGAATGAATCAGAAGCATTAATCAGGTATGCCGAAGTTCATTAAAAACATGCAAGTAAGTATTTCAGACATAGATGTATCAAATTAACAGTTTCAAATCATTTTTTCTAAACAAAACTGAGTCCTCCTGCAAATCTCTCCTACAGCTGATCTCTGCTCAAGTATTACTCCTATTTTTCATGCTGAGGACCAGCATTTCCCTTCTGTTCCTCTATAAAGAGCTTCAATTCCTGGGTATCTGCTCCTGAAATCATCATTACCTCAGTGCTAGCACCGTTTTTGTTACCTGTTACAGGAATGTTTCAGAAATTTTGGAGGATGCTGGATTTTTATTTTGATGTTGGGTTTGTTTTGAACTCCAAAATAAGAACAGAACTCCCAAAACTTTTAAAGGACAGAACTAACTGTTGCTGGTCTCCCTTTTCTGAATCCCTCTGAAATTCCCTCCATTTAAAATAATACTGAGTTCAGGCTTTCTGGATATGGGGAAGGCTTCTTGTCCAGACCAGAAAGGAAGAAGTTGCTGTCATGTTTGAATTACTGCACTGGCAGTAGAAATAAGTGTTCCTCCTGCTAGTTCAGGTTACTTGTACTTCACAACTTTCCCCTCTGCCAAAGGGCTGGATTTGCTGTCCTGAATTTGGAGGGGCAGCTAATATTTTGACTCTTGAAAGAGCCCTGTGGCCAGGAATGTACTTTGGCAGATCTCCGAGCCACGTGTCTCCTGCTGAAGGTGTGTTTCCACGGTCACCAACTGAGAACAGAAGGAAATCACAGCCTTCACAATCACGAGTTTGAAAAAGCTCCTGAAGTTTCCTCCCTTCCACACACTGATTTCAGTCCTGTGCATTGCTTTGGCACTGACTGAGCTGCCCCACGAAGGAAGACCATTCCTTATGAGTAAATAGCAGCCCAGCTAACTTTGTTACGTGGGTTTGTCCCTTCCGAGATACCCACCTCTATAGCTACAAGTTGTCCAGCTGCCGGATACGCTCCTCCCAAAGGTAAATGATATGGGGAGGGCCTTGGTGAGAGGAGTGTCCCTGTACTGGGAGCTGCTGGAAAGGAGCCAGAGGGAAGAGAAGAAACTTCCTCTCCCATTATCAGCCATGCATCTAACCCTGCCCTGGTGCTGAATCAGTTTGTTTTTATCGATGATGATAACCATGTGTTATCCACATGGGTCATCATTTGAATGGATGGAGGTGGTGAGGACGTTCCTTATCATGACATCCAGCTTGCCTATTTCAAGTATGGGAGATCCACACCTATACCGAATCTACAATTAAGATATCACAGTGTTTTTCCTTCAAGTTCTTTTTAACTGCATTATACTGTTATGAAGTTAAACCTCACACAGCTACATAAATACGGTTGGAGTCAATGATCTTAAAGGTCTTTTCCAAGCAAAATGATTCTATGATAAACTGATTGACCTACTGCATAGAAGTAAAAGTAAAATATCCTTTTTTATTCAGAAGGAGGGATTTCTTGGTTGTGATAAGCTCGGGAATTTTTACAGGTTGTTATTTGCAGAAACAGATAACAAGGAAAATGCTCTATTTTAACTGATATGTTTCAAGTTTAATTTGTTAATTTGTACTTACAAAAAGAAACCAGATAGTTATTTTATGCTCTTTCTTATAATAATAACTCACTTATTGTATCAAGCAGAATTTCTCTATTCAAACATTTCTAGTAGGTGGAACGATGCACTCTATCACATACTGAAAGGTACAGAATTTAACATTATGAAGATCTGTTCTCACCTTCATAAACTTAGATAATTATTGCTATTGTTAATAGAAAATATATGCATACACTGTAGGGAGAAACCCCTTCACTTTCTCAGCAATATCTGAGGCATATTTCCTATCAATGAAAGAATCTAACCACTATTCTTTAAGCTTTATGTAAAACAACTGCTTATTGAGCAGTTTTTGCTCTCAAATTTGAAAATAATGTTGATTTGATCATACCATCCATCAGTACCAAAACGTTTTCTAGTTAATGCCTCTCAACATTGCTCTGAAGTACTGCAATTTGACTCAAATTTTCAAATAGGGAAACAGAGGCACAGGAATGCTATTGATTTTGACATAATGAGAAAGCAAAGAACAGAAGATTTGGATATGTAGAACTTCTATTCCCTGAACAACGCTTCCATTTTATACTTCAAACACAATTTAAATGCTTTTCAATAAAATGCAAGATATTTTAATTGGATTTTTCTCAAGAAACTTACCAATCCATCTTCACCTGGTCTTGGGAAGGTTACAGCAAGGTCTTGTCCATTCTCATCAAAAGCTTTTATTTCGATGCCTAAATTGGACTCTGGCTGTTTGAGCCAGTTTTGCAACACTGTCTTCACATCAATACTCTGCCAAATACCAGTGCCGGGGTTCATGTCAAGTTTCAAAGATCGAATTCCAGTATATCTTGTACCATCTTTCATGGGTTTAATAAGTCTCAGGATCTGCACAAACACTGTTGTAGGTTTCTGGACTTGCCTCAAGTATATCCACAACTGTGCCTTTACTACTTTGTTATACTGTATTTTAGAACTAAACTTAAAGAAGCAACATTTTGGTTTTCCCTCCATTTGGATGAGAAAATCAGCTATAAATGAATGAAAAGAACAGATTACTGAACAGGGAACAAAAATAAAAATTCGTATATAAACCCCATTTTTATTTTTTTCTTCCATGTAGGAAGACTTACAATATGTTATAAACAGTACCAGTGACAAAGTGGATTTAACTTAATTCATTTTCTCTGGTTTATGCTTTGCATCAAATTTAATGGATGTCAATGAAATCATTATGCTGTCACCTAAAAGTAATACTATGCGACAAGGAACCTATGACTGTTTTGTAAACAGGCTAAAATGAGGTTTGGGTAATCATTTTCTAACTCTAGTTGGTGCCTTGTGCTCCACAGGCTAAGCAGAGTGGAGGTATGCTCAGGCTGAAACTTGGAAATGATAGGCAATCACAAGATAAACACTGTAGAGGACTTTTGTGGTCCTCTGCATGATCAGGGCTCTGACCAGTGCTGTCAGTGCTGTGGGCTGATCTGCACAACTACAAAAAAGCCTCTTTCCCAAACAAAAACTACTTGGGGAGAGGACACAGCCTATTTGACTTCACAGTGACTGCTACAAACTCACTTCTGCTAGTCATCATCTGAGGGCCTTCTAAAAGCATGCAGAATAGGAACTTTGCATAAGCTGATTCAATATGTGTTAATAGCTATCATATAGCTATTCCTAATTTACCAAATAACCTTAGTGTGCTACACGTATAATCAGAGGCAGCTGTGGGCAAACTACACAATTGCTTTAATTTCTTTTCTGAATGGGGGAAAAAATAATTAAGAGTGTTAATCTAAGGATCATTTTGTTTTCATTTGATTAATATTATAGGAAAGTCACATGCAGTGCTGCGTTCCTCCTTCCTGTAGCCTATGAAGCAGCTGTCATACTTAGTCATGGCAATGTCTTTCCATGCCAGGATAAAATGGGTAATACTAATCTTAAATGGTGCAGGGCTTTAACATTCATAAATCTCACCACTTAAGATACCTGTCTCTTTAGTGCATTTAAAATAGTTCAAGGGCTTTTTATAAAGAGTAGGAAATGAGCTCGGATCAATGAAGCACAATGACTTTTCTTCAATCACTGTAGTTATGTAACAATTTAGTTAAAAAGTGTTATAAAGCCTTGGAAATAATAAGCTCAAATAAAACTGCTGGCAGACCTCACCTTTGTGATAAGGCTGCAGGAATATACTGCCATTAAGTACATGCTAATTAATGAGTCAAAAAAGTTTACAGATAAAGTTACTTCTTCATCAATAAGTACAGCTGGCTAGAGCAGCTGATATTATTCTAGTACGCATATTGCAATGATATCTGTAACTGCTAACATGCCATATATGTCCTGTCATCTTTTTAATTTTTGACATCATATTCATAAGTGTTATTTAAAAAACCAGCTGCCATAGCCAAATACTTTAGCTGATGAAGAACATAAGATACTACAGTGTTAGCCACGCAAAAGATACTTGATAGGAGCCATAGCAGATGTTTAGCACTCAGAAGATAACTCAGAATCAGCTCATTCAGTAAATGCCTTCATTCTTCCTTGGCATGACTACCAGAGCTGATTGCTATAGCATGGACATTTTAACAGTTAAAAATCTGTTACACACATATTTGCTTTAAATATATAGTTTTAACTCAGAGGTGGGTGGTGCTAGTTTATGGTATCAGCAAAGAAGCAAGAATTTAACTCTATACTTGCACTTGCTATAACGTTGCAGTTAGGTAGGTCTGGTGCTCCAAGCTGTATTTCTGCTGATTTCTATTGCTTCTAAAAATGCTGGCCAGTAAACCTCCCTCAGAAATACATAGTTATCTCGTTAGCTGCACTTGTTCTTTATATCTGTGATAGCAAATGCCCTCAGTACTGCAGATAACGAAGTCAACTAAACTGCAGATCTCCCTTTGCTCTCTAAGGCAATGGGCAAATCCTAAGTGCTACAGGGCATACACGTTACAAGGAGCCGAAAACAGAACAGTAAAAGAAAGGATCACAACACGGTCATCTGAACCTGGCTCAAATTCTTTAGTAATAATGCTCTCCTCCCTCCCTCTAGCAGACTTCAGCCAGCAGCCTGTTGGGAGAGCCCGAGGAGGAGTTGTGTGGCTCTACAGCAGAGAGAGAACTCTCTCTCGGAGGAGTGGTGGGAGGCGAAAGCATCAGGGTTACTTACACTCTGTAGGCATTGTGATAATCGTTTCGGTGGTGGCATGATAGTCATCGTCTTCCAAAGAGCCATCACTACTGTCGTCTCTCTGGACATCATACTGATCAATCAGTTCCTGGAGTGGAGGAGCTTTGGGTAAAAGTTGTTTAATAACATCCCTGCTAATGTTAGGAGCTTGTTCCAGGCGCAGTTTGCTGAGGATTTGAATTTTTATGGCTTCTATTCTGGAGGATTTTGTATTCTGCCTCCACGTACAAGCATTGCACAGTCCGTCTTTTTCAGTGTTCTCTGTGGGCTGACTACTGTCATCAAGAGCCACTGGATCAACTGAAATCAGCATGAACAGGTAAATATAAACATAGATTGCTAGCTTTTGCATGATCTCACATTCAGTGCAGCGCTTTTTCCCTTTTTTTTTCCTTTCCCCTCCCCCTTTCCCTTTCAGTACTAAACAGATCCGTGAAAGCAAATGCAATCTGAGAGACAGCTTGCCACACTGGTGTACCTTATATATTCCAAGGGGGCTTTTTATACTCCAACTTTGATTAGGCTCATGTCGTCAAACCCGACGATTGGTTGCTGTCCCAACAATGAATCTGGCTGTCAGAGGGTAAAGCCCTGTCGATCACAAGTCACTAGACAGCATTTAGTTACAGCCAAGGGTGAACTGATTTATCTGGGTGCTTCGTAGAGGATATGTCTTTGCATACTGAAAGGATATATTTCCAAGTATTGTAGGCAGCAGTACTGAAAGACAGCACTGTCATTCTTAAATATATACCAGCTGTGTACTTGTACTGTGAATCAAGACAGACCTCTCTCTAAACTTGCTTCAGGCTTCTACCAGTCTTTTTGACTTGAAAGTTTGTGCTGTTTAAATGAAAAACCCTGAGGGATTGCTGCTAGCAGGCAGGGGGAAAAATACTTCAGAAATGCACTGCAAACAGTACTAATTTATGTTGTTCAACAACTAAAATATATTCATAAATATATATACATTTAAATCTCTACTATATCTTCTTTTTCCATGTAATTTTCTATTTCTGTTTAAAATGTCTCTGTATTATGCCAACTTAAGTGACACCTTTCTGTGTTCTTTTGCTTTCTACTCAAACACTTTTAAGTTCTCTGTATTCTGCTTATATTTTTAAATCACAGTTTTAATATGTTTTCTGCATTAGAGATACATCTAGGTGTGATTTTATACTTACAGGTAATGGCTTATAAAATCTTACAGTGATGTAGTTCATGTTTGATGTGTTGTTAGCAAGAATTGTGGAACTCACAGTTGGGGGACTGGGGGTTACTGGTCAGCACAGGCTGTATATTACAGCAAACAGAAACCCTGGAATTTGTATATATTGTATATACTTGTATATTTGGGATCTGTATGTTACAGCAAAGGGAAATCCTAGAATTTCATACAATATGCTAAAGTTGGCTTATCTAACTTAGGACTGAATTGTCAATTTCCCACTGAGTTTCTCTTCCCATTCTAAGTGCAACCAAAATATATGGCAAACAGCGGTTTTTTTGCACATGTGCATGTAAGAAAAACATTGGTATATGGAAAAATACTTTCAAAGAGTTTCTTTCTGCCTGGTCATTCATATTGTTTTTTATCACCTCTCCAGTGCATGCAAATTCATTGCATAGCACAGAACTGAGCCTAATATTCAGCTCATGACCAGTGACGTAAATCATGAGTACTCAATTAAAATTGATTGTCTTACCCTGGTGTAAAATTGATGCAAGTGATAGATGTATCACACTCACATATTCCAGGCCTATGGCTTTAGGGTCAGACCCTCGTATTCTGATTTCATCCAAAATATGCATTTAAAGCAAGCATTTGCTTTTTATACAAGAGTATGCTGCAGCTATTTTTCACATGTGTCAACATAAATTGGCTCCTGGTTCACTGGAACTAGAAGTCAGGATAGATTTGAGTTGCAGTGGAGACTGCCTGCCGTGCCTATAACATATTTTAAACAGACTTCTAGTGCATTTCAAGTGCTGGAAATGTGTTTTTATGGAAGACACGTAGGATGATTCACAGTATGAATCTTTCTGAAGAGTACTGATCTTGCTCGTGATTTTGGGGGGCTTTAGGTAGGGGATTTTTTGTTGTTTGTATACTATTATGACAGTGAATGTCAATAAAACTTTTTTATCATTTTTTATTTTAAACCAGAATGAGTTAACAAGTTGGGCGTGAAAGGGAATCTACCCCCAGGTAGAAACAGGTACCAGATTTCACACCAGCAACAGTTTTAAAGAGAACAATGATCTATCCTTAAACAGGTGGAAACGATGAGTAATATCAGTGTAACTAAATGCTCTGGGAGACCATGGCTTTAAGCCATTCATGTTGGAGAGGGGACAAGAGAAATTCTCTTCAAAGCAATGCCTCCAGCACCATGACTCCTCATTGAATGTGTTCTGCAGCAGCTTACCCGGTGCTCAACAGCCATGCTGGTACCTGGCCTGCTCCTTCTTCTTCACCCTCTGACTATGGCTCACCATGGGCATGCAGAACTTCTTGGTTTGTTTTCCTATCTTCTGCAATAGTTCCATTAATCTGCAAAAAAGCCCCCCCCCCATTTGTTTATGACCACAAGACCAAAGTCATCTTCTGTAAGGCAAAAACCCCTGTGAGCTCTGAGCAAGAGCTGAGCTTCATCTTGGCCACCCAGGTGACACATGGCTCTGCTCACTAATTAGAAGTAGGAGGAAGCAATAGCAGCTGGAGTAGTGACATAGGGACTAACTGATTGACCAGGATGGCAAAAGTGCCCCAGAATTCACCAGCAGCTGCATAACAAAGAGCAGTATTTTATTCCATTTCCCTCATAAAGAGTACTTCATATCCACATGCTCTGAATAACTCTAGGCTGTTAGTGAAATACCTTTCTCTTCATCTTCTGTTGTTGCCAGCTTTTTCTTTTCTATGAAACTGCAAGAATTTGGAAGGGAGCTTGAAGAGTTGCACTTGATCAGGAGCTATTGAAGGATCTAATTTCATTGTTAATGATAATACAATATGCAATTTGGTTCTCCATCTGACTTTCATTGTAGTGGGATTGGGAAGCGATGACTACAGAAGGTGACAGAGGTGGGAAAAGTGATAAAATGGCAAAGTTAAAGTTGCTCAAAAAATTTATTTGGGAAAAAAAACTAAAATCCCCAAACCCCAGAAAAACTCAGCACATTACCACCAGCAACACTAAAGAAGAGTTAAAAATGAAATGCAAATCTTACTGAACTTTATGGCATTTTAATATTATCTTTGGGATTTGTGTCATTCTACCCGCCATGCCTGCCAATAGTGAATAGCATTCCCAATCCTAACTATTCAAAGATCATGGCTCAGGCCCCCCAAACCAAGCAATGTAAGAATGTTCCTGTCTAAAGGAAAAAGACATGTATCTGTCTACCTGTCGACTTCTCCGCTCCTTCCCCCCTTCCACGAGGAGCTTTTGTAGTCATTGGAAAACCTAAAAAGAAAAAAAGGGGAAAAACCACAAACTCATCCCCAACAAATCTGAGCAATAGAGAAGTTTCAAAGACACTGTGTTACCGTGAGTTTTATGGAAAAACAGTGACTGTGGAGGAAAAGGAGATTACTAATGCCCTCCCTGAGGAGAAGGCAAACAGAGCCCAACCATTACCCATCCTTTTTGGCAGCCTCTAATTAGCCAATCAGCTTGTGCTTCTTCATCATTACTCAGCATGCTGATAGCTCTGGACCATCTACAGTGTGTCACCCCTTGCTGGGCCAGCAACCCAGAAAACACAGGGAGCAGGATGGGATTTGATCTTGTTCTGGGGGTGGACCAAGTAGACATGGAAAGGAACCAGGACATTTCTGAGAAAAGGGAGAGTTACAGGGGCATGAAGGAGCTGCTCTCGTAGCAAGGAAGGAGAGGGACATGGGTTATAATCCTGCCAGAAATCAGGCAGCTTCATCCTGTTGTAGGCTAGATTTCCAAACACTTCCTTATAGCCTGCAGGACCAGAAATTCACTATTACTTTTTCTGTTATTGAAGTTAAATGAAATAGTCCCTATAACTGACTGACTTCAGAAGGTCGAAGGAACAAAAACTCAGGTGTTGTGAAATGCACTGTAAATCTGTGATTGCTGTTTACATTGATGTCAAGTCCTACATCTTGAATTGGTTTCTCTCCCTGGTTTGTCTTTTAAGGAAAATGTAACATTCCTTATGAGCAGCTGGGGAAGGTACTCTTTGAGTCACCTTTTCTCTCACTTTCATCAGCATAAAGCCTAATTTCTAGAGTAGCATATTGAAATGGATAGAAAATCCCATTTAAAGAATTTTTGGACCATCCCATTTAAAGCATTTTTGGACCAGATTCATCTCTTGCTTAGCTGCAGTAAGCTGGGGATAATGTTTGTGAAGTATTTTTGGTTGGAACAGTTGAATTTGAATAGAAAAACTCAGACACATAATTAAAAGCAGTGGACGTGGGGTGTTTTAAGTGCTTAACTATGAGCCCAGCTGTCTTAACTCACCAGGTGCTTGCTCTTAGCCACCTGAATCACAAGATAAATGCATTACTTTGACCTCAAAGCAGATATAAGGTCATGTCTATAAAACACACAGAAACAGATCTTGCAATAACAAAAAGCTGATGAAAACATCATCCCAACCACATTGTGTAAACTAAAGCTGCAGCTACTATCAATTTACTTATATTACTTGTAGTAATAAGTGAATTGAAATATGAAAGCTGTAACTGGTATGAATTCTTGCTCTGTAACAAATGCCCTGAAACAGTTTGCCCCCTGCTATTTTTTTTTCTCCTACAAAAGTAGTCATATATAACGTTCAAAACATTTTGCTGTATCAGCTACTGAAAGTCAGCTTTATTTCTTTATTTTGATGGCATGGGCGTTTAACTCCTTCAACTTACCAAAAACCAAAGAAGTAAGTTCATCTTCTTTTTCATTAATTTTGAGTTCCAGCTATAAGGAAGTGTATTTCACATAGAAGAGCACGCATGGCACAGGGTATGAATGCCCTGGTATGCTGGCATCTGGGTGGGGTATGGCGCAACTCCTCAACCGCTCCAGTTGGGTTGTTTTCCTAGGAAAACTACAGTGTTCAGGGATCTGAGACTTTGAGTGGTCTCCCCCAGTGTGTACCTGGGTCTGTGACTGCAGTTTGAGTACCAGGACAAATCATCACTGTCTGGCCAATGACTTCCTTGACTTGGGAGCTAGGAAAGATAGTAGTGTATCCTACCTGCTGAGGACTTTCTCACAAGCCATGATATGTAAGCATGCAAAGGATAAAATGGGGAAAACAGGTAAAACTGGCACC